AAAAAATGTATGTTTGCCACAACCAATATTATTTTGCCACGTCCTTTAGCAACCGCTTTTTAAAGTCTTTTAATAAGGAGCGCTCTTTATCATTTAATTACATTTACATTTATTTTAAATCAACATAAATTCTAATTTTGACTTAAGGATCCCTCTTTGGAGATAGTCTTAGTGTTTCCGTAATAAGGATTTGAGAAGCCATCGTTAATATTGGTAAAAAAAAAGTAAACATGAACAAAAATATAAATTGTTGTCAACATGATGATACAAACCTACTAAAGGTTCAATTTAGAAATATAAACACATACTTCATCAATATTACTTAGCAAAATAACAGTTTAGCTTAATAATGTTATAAATATTACATACAATTAGTTACTAACTTGAGTATATAAACTTTATTAAACCCACATTAACTTAATAAATGTTTCAATTGTATAACACCAACAATCTTTTATCCCCAAATGCCATTTTCAAAACATCGGAAAATTAAGCTCATACGGGAACCACGCTATCATATTCTATTTTAAACGTTAAATTTTCCAACCCAACACAATTACATACTTAAAATAAAACATCAAATTTTACAATCGACATTTGAAAGAAAAAAACAAAAAACAAAACCAGACAATTTTCCCCCGCGCTGTAGCGCGGGTCCGAATCTAGTATATATTTATATTTTTCATTTTCATATGATCTAAATAATCTGACATGGAAAAAGAACATATATAACTTTTATGATACTTTAAAAGATTGATTACATATCTATTGTTCTTGTATAGTGTATACTATTTTTCTATACATTAATAATTTAATGTTTGATTTCTATAGATTTAGTGCCATCCATCTGAAAAATATGTTACATACAAATAATAGCATTAATTATAATTAGGGTTGATGATCAAATTTTGTTATTTGTTTCCACTAGCTAGTATATGATTAGTGAAAACTCCAAAAATATGTTGAAAATTAATAATTGAATGATATTTGATAAAAAGGTTAAATAGAAGAAAATGTTTGATGAATGCTAATTAGTCGTTGAATATATATATATAGGAGTGAACAAGGACGGGACTGTCCGTCATTTTTTCCACCGGCCGTCGAAGGCATACACGACGGGAACAAGAAAACGACGTAAAGTCCACACTGATTCCGAAGTTGGTGGCGAGACACGGTGGCACAAAACCGGCAAAACACGGCCAGTTCTAGCCGGTGGAAGAGTGAGAGGCTACAAGAAAATCCTAGTGCTCTACACAAACTACGGCAAACAAAAAAAGCCCGAGAAGACTAATTGGGTAATGCATCAATATCATCTTGGTACCAACGAGGAAGAGAAAGAAGGAGAGCTCGTCGTCTCCAAAGTCTTCTACCAGACTCAACCACGCCAATGTGGTGGCTCAGTCGCTGCAGCAGCCACGGCTAAAGACCGACCTTACCTCCAAGGCCTCGGTGGAAGTAGTGGCCGACACCTTCATTACCATCTTCATCATAACAACAGTAACGTCAAGAGCAACGGCGGTGGAGGGGGAACGGCCGGAGCCGGTGAGTATTATCACAATATTCCGGCTCTTATCTCGTTTAATCAGACCGGGATACAGAACCATTTGGCTCATGACTCTCAACCTTTTATCCCTTGAAAAGAAAATCAAATTTTATATCAACGGTCGTAAAATAAGAGAAAGGGTATATAAGCATTATACTTCATATTACTACATAAACATACATTGAAAATAACTTAAAAGTTACTGTGCAAACTTAAATACGTAACTTGTTTTTCTTTTTGTCATAATTTTTTTTCTCCCCCTTTTTTATTTGCTTTGTACAATTTAAATTCCTTGGACTGATCGTGAAAAAATGTACAAAGATCTCCCTTGTCTTTTGGTACATTTATTCATTTTCATATCTTGTCGGCAGAGAACTAAATAGCGCCTACAGACTTCGGATGTCTTAAGCAGTAGATTAGCCATTTGACAATTGACACTCGTTATTTCGAAAGGAAAAATAAATCACTTTTTTCATTTAACCAAATGCAAACCTCTTTTTTTTTTCCCCCAAACGACAAGTTCATTACAATTAACTCATTCAGTCTTTTCTCTTTAATGGTGACCCATTTTCACCTTGAGGTAGGTGATTCCAAGAACAACTTTTAAAAGTTTTTTAGTGGTTACAAATCGAACTCTTCTTCCAAAGGATCTGAGGAATTGAAAAGACGACATGAAGCACATGAGATTTTACTTAAGAAGCCTCTCTACTTCTTTGCATCTACATCCAAATTCATCTCTTGTAGGTTAAGCAACAGATCGTCTGAGCTCAAGTACACCTTGTTCGCCGAGTTTGCTATGGTCTGCGCAATCTCTCTTGCAGCCTCGATCTTCCTGAGTGTGATAAACGCTTGGTTGTTTGCAATTGCTTGACCAATGAGCTGAGCACTCTTGGCTTCTCCCTACACAAGCCATGACAAGGTTGTCACACAACAATTTCGGTCTCAGATTTTAGATAAGTGGAATTGTAGAGAAGCTCAGCTTTACCTGTGCACGGATAACTGCACTTCTCTTGTCTTGTTCAGCCTTCTCAACGATGAACTTGGCTCGCTCAGCCTCTTGAGCCGCCACCTGCTTTGCTTCAATGGCAGCGGTGAACTCCTTCCCGAATGTCAGGGTCGTGATGGACACATCATCAAGCGCGACGTTGAAGTTTGCAGCTCGTGCAGTCAGAATCTTCCTGATCTCCCTACTGACCGCCTAAGAGTAGCCCAAAAACTATCTTTGTTAACTTCACTAAGAAAGAGGGAAAGATTATCATATATTTACAGTCACTTGTATACCTCTCTCTGAGTAATAAGCTGGCTTGCATTGTACTGAGCAACCACAGCTTTCAAAGTCTCGTGGATTATGGAAGGCAGAACTCTCTCGCTGTAGTTCTCACCAAGGGATCTGTAGATTTCAGGTAACTGGTCTGCCATGGGACGCGTGAGAACCCTAAGCCCAATTTTCACCTGAAAGTTTCAAAACCCACAAACTTAAAGCTTATGAAGTTGAGCGTTGACATTATTACATCACAGTGGCATATAAGCAAACCATGTGACGGTTGAAGCGAAAGACTTCACATTCCCTAAATCCTCAAAAAAAAAGTGAATAAAAATGTGAGGAGTTGAAGCAGAGTACCATCTGGAGATCGCGGCTTCCGGATGTACTCTCAACAAGGTAAGGTCGAGCGCGAACGTCATAGATGACCGGCCTTTCGAACCAAGGAATCATAAGGTGTGTGCCCTCAGGGTAAACCTGCGAAATATAAGGTTATCACCTACTTGTGAATTAACAAGACTCTTAATATGCTCAATGGTTACAGCAGAACAACATGATATCATGACTGATACCAAACATAGACAACAAATCAGCCTCAGTGTTTACACAAAAGAGAATCAGATTTAAATAACAAATAATCCTAGACAATTTCCATTCAAATGTCACAAACCGCAAAAGAACTCTTTGGGAAAATACATTCACTACAAAACCAAAAACCCCAATTTGAAGAAACAGTGACTCACCTTATCTTTGATACCGATAAAACGATTGAACATAATGGCACGATGTCCTCCGTCAACATTGTAGAGACTGTGTGTGGCACCATAGAGACCAAGCCCACCGATAATCCCAACCTTAAGCAGCGCTGAAATGGCACCACCACCTGGTACCTTCGGAACTTTGACGTTGATATTCATCCTTCTTTCTAGAACACTCCCAATATTTCAAAAAATTAAAATCAATATCCAAGTGCAGAGAAACAGAATACACAAACATGCACCCAAGAATCAGACTCAGATCTACTCACTTATGCAACTTTAACTTATAGCTACCAAAAGAGTCAAGTAACAGAATCAAAATGAAGTCAAATTTCAGCACACGAAATCGTAAAAGCTATAAAATTTAACGAACCCACATGCTCAAAACACTTCTAATCAATCAAACAGCAACACTCGCATCTTTGGTATAAACAGCAAGTAATTAACTTCGAGCAGAAAACTCTCTCAGCCACCTCCAAAATTCACTCGTTCACTAAAATTTCGAAAGGAATCAATTGATACACACCCGTTAAACAAAATACAAAAGCGAAATGGCGAGAAGCGTACCTGAAACCTTGGCTACTGGAGAAAGGGGAAGATCGTGAGAAAGGGGTTTAGGGTTTAAGCTCTCTGACTTCTATTGGAGAAACGGGACGGTGTCGCATTTTTTTTTTTTTTTTTCTTTGGGCTCACGCTATGGGCAATTAGATACGTTAGCTGGGCTTAATGGTGAATAAAGAATACTTTATTGGGCTTGGTTTTGGTTTTGATAAGCCTATTTAGTATAAATGTCAGACACTTGTCACCGCGGCTAAACATGCAACCGAACAGTTGTCGAGTCAAGTCGCAGCAGATACAAGTACAACGGATCAAACACGCCTAGTGTCGCCGCGTCTCTCTCATGTGGCACCTTGTTTCCTTCCTAACTCTCTATTTTAAAATTTTATTTTGTTTATACGCTCTCTTCGATCACATCGCCAAAATATTCAATATATATCACTGGTGATGTTAATGATGTGTTAATTGTTAAACTTTGATTTTCTCCTGCTGTGTTTAAGTTCAATTATATATCATGTTTAAGAGATTCTATGATCCCGAGACGTTATTAAATGATAAATCTAGTAGAGTTTTTCTATATGGATAATAACATAACGTGAAGCTAAAAATTGAGATAGATACATTTGAATTTGTCGTGTTTTGGCATACGCGGAGAGTGAGCTACGCGCATGAACATCAAGAGACACTTGCTCGAGCTCACAGACTGACGTGTTAAAACCATAGACTCATGACCCCATGCAAACCCAATCTTAGGTGGCATAAACATTGAGCTCACTCGACAGTATATAAACTACTGCTAAGCCTCGTTCTTCTTCATCCATCTCTCACAACAAACAAAAAGAAAATGGTTAAGCTCGGCAATCTCCTCGTTGCGACCTTCGGGGTTCTCCTCGTCCTTAACGGCTGCCTTGCAAGGCAGTCTCTTGGGGTTCCTCCTCAGCTGCAGAACGAGTGTAACCTTGATAACCTGGACGTTCTCCAAGCCACCGAAACTATCAAGAGTGAGGCCGGTCAGATCGAGTACTGGGATCACAACCACCCTCAACTCCGATGTGCTGGTGTCTCCGTCGCTCGTTATGTGATCGAACAAGGCGGTCTCTACTTGCCCACCTTCTTCACTTCCCCGAAGATCTCATACGTTGTTCAAGGTCTATATCAATTTACACAAACATGATAGCCCTTTCAATCAAATACGTATATATCACGTTTTAATTAATGAAGAATACAATAGATTCACCGTACGATAACTCTATTCTGTATATAAAATTAATTTACAGGAAAGGGTATTAGCGGAAGAGTGGTCCCTGGATGTGCTGAGACCTTCATGGACTCGCAGCCCATGCAAGAACAACAGCAAGAACAAAGACAGGGACAACAGGGACGACAACCATGGGGAGGCCAGGGACAACAGGGACAACAGGGACAACAGCAACAACAAGGGTTCCGTGACATGCACCAGAAGGTGGAACATGTTCGCCAGGGAGACATCTGTGCCATCACTCCAGGCTCTGCCCATTGGATCTACAACACCGGAGAACAGCCACTTGTCATCATCGCTCTTCTCGACATCGCCAACTACCAAAACCAACTCGACCGTAACCCTAGAGTAATCATATATACTCAACATGCTCACTCATTATTAGAATATCTACCGTATCAGTTTAAATAATATATAAATGTTTTGCATTTGTTGATTCGGTGTTATAGGTGTTCCATTTGGCCGGAAACAACCAACAGGGTGGCTTTGGCGGTCCACAGCAACAACAAGAACAGAAGAACATGTGGAGCGGCTTCGACGCTCAGGTCATTGCTCAGGCATTGAAAATTGACGTTCAGTTGGCTCAGGAGCTTCAGAACCAACAAGACAACCGAGGAAACATCGTTCGTGTTAAGGGACCTTTCCAGGTCGTGCGACCACCTTTGAGACAACCCTACGAGAGCGAAGAGAGGAGACGCCCACGTGGCCCACAAGACAACGGCCTTGAGGAGACTATCTGCAGCATGAGGTCCCACGAAAACATTGACGACCCTGCTCGTGCTGACGTATACAAGCCCAACCTAGGTCGTATGACCACCGTTAACAGCTACACCTTGCCCATCTTGCAGTTCATCAGGCTCAGCGCCACCCGTGGCAGTATCCAGGGTGTAAGTATATGTTTCTTTTACTTTATACAAATATAGAGAAATCAACCGTGAAAAGATAAATTAGGGATAGTATACAAATTATAATTAAATTTAGTAGATATTTAGTTGTAGATATATGGATATTAAGTCACTAAACTTATATAATCCACTATATTTACATGGTTGATATTAATTATTTCCCCTAACAAAACATATTAAAAATCTTTTTCAAAAAAAACAAAACAAAACATATTAAAATCGGAGGCTACATGTGACGGACAACAACTGATCATGTATGAAATGTTGCAGAATGCTATGGTACTTCCAAAATACAACATGAACGCTAACGAGATCTTGTACTGCACCGGAGGACAAGGAAGGATCCAAGTTGTGAACGACAACGGACAGAATGTGTTGGACCAGCAGGTGCAGAAGGGACAGCTCGTGGTCATCCCACAAGGGTTCGCATACGTTGTCCAGTCCCACGGAAACAACTTCGAGTGGATCTCTTTCAAGACTAACGAAAACGCTATGATCAGCACTTTGGCTGGACGAACCTCGCTCTTGAGGGGATTGCCATTAGCGGTCATCTCAAATGGTTTCCAGGTCTCCCCCGAGGAAGCTAGGAGGATCAAGTTTAACACCCTTGAGACCACCTTGACTCGATCCGCTGGTAGGCAACAACAACCTTTTATCGAGGAGATCGTCGAGGCTTAAATGAACCGTTTTTTCTTTTTCTAAATAAAGTGTATGGTCACTTTGTAATCATGCCTTTAACGGTTGTGTAAACTACGTGTCTGCGGCACCTTACTTGTAATAACACTTTCTTCTCATAAATAAAAGGAAGTTCGAGTTACATATTTCTTGCGCCGGTTTTTTTCTCTATTTATTTTTACTTTCCACAAAACAGAATCGTATGGTAGGTTTTTTTTATTTTATCTTGAACTATTTTTTTCTTCTTTCTATCAGAATTTTATTTTAGAAATTTTTTAATTGTGTAATACAAAAAGAGTATATGTTATGAAAAGAAAAAGAAATAAGAATTATGAGAAGTGAGAAGATTTTGATTTTAAGGGTTAAAAAAAAAACTATATATATATATAGAAACTTAAAAAGAGTTTGTTTTTCTTCTTATTTCTAAAATTCCCATGCTTTTACATGTTGTTGGAATTATTACGCGCATTTGTAGATTATATGGGCCTGAAGAAGGCCCAAATGCATTTAACTTCGTTACGTTTGCAAACGGTCCTAGTTTATTGCGATAAAAAATTATCCAATTCGCCAAACAGTCCTTTAGAATGGCGTTACACGTCTATTTTGTTTATGACAGAAATGGAATTTCATTCTTTTCCAAGGAATATCCAAATCCTTTTTCATTTTTTTTTTCATTTTGCGTGTATTAATCTCCATTACATAGTTCTAGTTTACTAATCTTACCTTAGATTTAATTTACATTCCTGGATAAAAAGTTTTGATTATGATTAGTTCCAATTGTTTGAACTTTGAAGTGAAGTAAAATGCAATGTTGGATTCTGTACGTAACCTAATATGAACTCTCTCTTTCTTAACTTCTTTTTTTTTTGCTAACTGGTAAATATCATATAAAATGAAAGTGGTTTGGATTTACATAAAGAAAACCTAAACATTTGGTTCCTTGGCAAAAAGAGAGAAAAAGCAAGGAAGCAAATAACAAAACCCAAGAGAGCAGTTCTTCATCGGATCCATAGACGCATTAGTTTTCTGAAACTTTTGCGATGACATCTTGCAGAGATAGAATTGATGACTTCTCTGTCAATAGATTTGAAAATAGTTGACGAAGGAATAATCTGGAGGTTATGGAGCAGATTATTTCTCTGTTTCCATATAGCATAGACTGTGGCATGAGCAGCAATTTTCCTGAGGATGGAAGGAGACGAGGCTGTACTTAGCTTGAGCCATAAGAGGAGGCAGTCCCAGTCTTGAAACAGCAGCACAGGTAACCTTAATCTAGTCTGAACCATATGCCAGACCGAAGAGCTAAAACCACAAGAGAGAAGTAGGTGATCTCTTGTCTCTATAGAGGCAGAACATAAGCAGCACAAAGGGGAGATGTTCATCCCCCATGAGACCAACCTTGCACGTGTGGGTAACCTATTGAGATTTGAAACCCACATATGGAAGGAGTTTCTAGGAGTAGCACCTTTGAACCAGATTTGAGGAGCCCAACTTTTTTCTTCCTCTCTTTGTCGCAGCGCTTCCCAAGTTTTTGAAGAAGAGAACCCTTGACAGATCTCCCCATTAACTTCTAAAGCGGAGCTATTAAAAAAAATACATACACTATGTTGTCTCTTTTTGTTTATGATAAACAATGATAGATATTGAGTATCTACAATATTATTTACAACAAAGAAACCTAATTATGACGATAATATTCATAGCAAATGGTTTACATAAAATGAAAAATGAAGAATACCTAAAGGCAAGCTAATGATAACAATATCCTAAGAACCCTAGAATCACAAACCCTATACCCAAATGCCACACAATTTATATGTATAATAATGTAATAAATCTATAGATGAAATATTTTTTTGTAAATCACGAATCAACAAATCGGCCAAACCCTTCAATAGTATATTCAATGGAAAGGGAAGAGATTGTCGGTCTCAAAACTCAAGCCACCACATTCCACGTGAAGGTCTGAAACCATACCACCATCCGATGATGATCCCATACATGTCTTGTCATGCTCCAAACTCGTCATCTCTGGTGACAACAAAATCTTCTCATAATTCTGATGATGATCATCCGTGATGTTGACACTGTTGTTGTTGTCGACGTAAAGCAAATTTAGCAGGGACTCGTGATCAGGGCCATGGCTCGACGATGAGGACAACGAACCGATAATCATCTGCTCCCAACCACATGCTACGGTTTGATGATGACAATGTTGATGATAGGGATGGTCGGTGGTCCTAATTGAAGGCTGCTTGGTTAGCTGCTCCCACTGATCACAAACTTGGATTTTCATCTTCTCTTGTTGCTGATGATGTGGAGGAGATGATAATAAAGGTGGCAACTGGTTGTTGTAATGAGGGGCGTAATTAAGATCCGGAGCGTCAATGATTTCAAGCCTTTGAGTCTGATGATCATTGTTATAATTATTGTCTTGTAGTGATGAGTCTCTGCCTTTGTTGAACACTCTGCACAAGACCCAGTCTTCCTGTGTCCACATACCGACAGAAAACGAGAGGACATTGTCAAAATAAAAAATCATTTAAACGTATGCATATAAAAATGCATGAAATGTTACGTTACGTGCGGTCTCGTGCATGCAAATAACCAAACACGCATTAAAGCCACTTTTGTCTCTTTCTTCCATTTAATTATTTATTTTTTGTTTCCTTCTTCATATATATGTGTCATTCTTTGTACTTGCTGCCATCTCATCATGCGCTAATGCCATGCACAGCCATGCATTCATATATACATACACTGATGCTTGTTATATCTATGACTTTTTAAAAAAGTAAACGATTCCTGCGTGTATGAGATATATCTAAGTTTATATTTGTAAGGAATCCTATATATATCGAACGTGAATATGGACCTAACACTAGTATATCTCTATAGAAAAGACTCGACTAACTTTATTTCAATTTTTTAAAAAATATTGCCAGTTTATATAGATCGTCTATTGTATCGGATGCATCTAAATAAATATGATGACGTAGTACTGAAGTATGAGTTTATGACCATTTATGATGAACTCAGAAAAAAAAAAATTAAGGCTGAGCTAATCTTTTTGTAGTGAGCTAATTAGTTAGTATAATTTTCTACCCAAGAAAAATAAAAATAATAATAACAAAATCTAAACTACTGCTGGCATAATAGACAATTCGATATATGGTACCATTAATTTGGTGTGTATGCATGGGACATCCACGAATAGACACATGTCGTCATGAGTTTAGGCACGATGCAAGTGATGGTTAATAAGACGTAATTATTATGAAATGATGATTACTAATTATGGTTAGTAGTATCAATGAGAGAAGGAAGAATGGTTGGGGAATAATCAAGTACCTTAGGTGGGATGTTAGGACATTCAAGACGGAACTCGTGCATGATCCAAGTAGTTTTGATCCCATTTGGAGCTCTGTTCCTGTAGAAGACCAGTGTTTTTCTCATCCCTACCAATTGCCTTGTACGTGGATCCATCACCGTTCGATCTTTTCCTGTTGCTTTCCAGTATCCGCTTATCGTCGCTCTGTTTGTGCGGTACCCAGTCGCATATTTTCTATCGCGAAAACTGAAGAAGTACCACTCCTTTGCGTTCAGCTTTGCCACATCTGTACACAACATACCAAAAGATAGAAAACTGTGAGAATAAAATTATATTATAAATATTATATATCATGTAAACAAAAATAAACATTCTAATTAATAAATCATTATAGTGACAAGAAATATTAAACTCCCGTCTCCCAACCTCATAATTTTATACCAATGGACACCATAACTTGATTTTTGTGGATCGGGTTTACAGGCTTTCCATTTACAAACAGTGATATGTCAAAGGTTTAATGTGATGACATAAGACTTGCGATGTAGACAAGACAGAGGATAGGAGACATTGTATTATTAGCTTTGGCAAAAAATAATTACGATTTTGACTTCAACGAATGAAATTATTGCTCTCTCAAACATTCCTCCTGTCAGTTTCGCATTAATTTGATCCTTACAGAAGATGATCAAGAAGATAGATAATACATGTGATGACTACTTCAAAAAAGATTCCTTTATTTTGCCTTAGTTAAGAAGGAGAGTATTTATAAGACCACAATTTATTTTTCGTAAAACATAATTATCAACTTATCATCAACCTTCAACCATATCTTAAATAGTACTATATTGCTTGTTTAACTATATAATATTCGACTAATTACAATAAGATCGTGCTGGTCATGAAAGTAACTAAAGGTTTCTTGAGTCTCTAAAGTTGCTTGTGATATGTAGCAAAAAAAAAAGGTCTTCGTGTTTACACACAAAGCCTTACTTTTACTTTTTTTTTTTTTTTTTTTATTCTCTTAGAATTACATTTTGATTGATGTTCTTTAATGCAACAAATTAACTAACTTGGAATTTTATACTCGGCAAGTTATCTTATTTTAACAAAGTCCCGAAAAGTCAAAATTACGAAGACAACTATATAAAACTTTCAAGAAAAACAAAATATGACAACAGGATTCTCGGTCCCCTTCTTTTTTTTTTTTTGGGTTAAAAGATATCTCTCGGTCCCCTTTTGAAAAAAGCTTCCTTAATTTCTCAAGGTATATATAAAAAAAAGTAATCACAAACAAAAATAAAATTCACTATAAGCATACAAGCATGAACACTACATCGATGATATATGTGAGCATATATATATATATATATATATATATGCTCGCTTATATTAAAATTTGTAATCTGATTTACGAGAACTCTATAATGACTAATTTTGCCTCTTTTGTACAGCCTCCAGACTTTTATTTATCATTAATCTAAACAATTATTTTTAAAAACTAGCATGCATCTCAGCTAATCAAATGAATGTCTTAAAACTATTATTAACGCAAATTATAATCAGTCAAAATCTAGTTTTTTTATATGAAGACATCCCGTTTCAGTTGATACAGTTCAAATACTAATTAATTTTTAAGAACAAGGAAGATTCAGTAATATGGTAAATCTGTAAATATGTATATTTACAATCATTATAAGAGTACTGGCACGCGTATTTATACACACATGTGTATGTATGTATCTTCGTGTGTACAATAGTATCTGACTAATTCACACAAGTAAAAATCTTCTAATTGCGAAAAACTCATATGCTTTATATAAAAAAATAAAATAAAATACTAATTAACCGATCCTGGGAATAAAATCTGATTTTAAGAATCTGTTTTCTTCTTTATGTTCAATTAATTTCAAGAATAATCTTTTCAGTGGAAAGTTTCAAGAATCTTTATGAAAGCAATTTAAACCCCACCAAAAACCAGGAGTGGAAAGAGCATATAAACTTATAGACACAAAAGTAGCAATCAGATTAAGGTACATATATAACTAAATCTCAGAATTAGCAAATCAATATGTTACCTGGAAGCTGCCATGGCTCACAGATATGCAAGTCAATCTCCACAAGATCAGTAGCATCCTTCAAGGTTTCATCAACTTCATCATCCTCAACATCACCCTGATCAGATTTGGCCCTAATCTTGTTGCAAAGATAGTGGCAAACCAACTCTTCATCACTTGGATGGAACCGAAAGCCCGGCGGCAATTTGGACCCAATATCTTTCAAACCCATATGTGAGATTTTTCTTGCTTGATAGCTATATGTAAATGTAAAAAACCTTTAGGAAGATTATATTAGTAGGGCATGGAAAAAGTTTCAAAGATGAGCTTAATAGCAAAGGAGGAAGAGGGAGAGAAAGAGAGAGGGAGGGAAAGGGGTGTTGTGTAGAGATACATATATAGGTTTAATTATGTATATATTTATAGTTAGGGGTGGATATTAGCTTATATGATGTATGGAAATAGAATAATATATAGCATGCATGTAGCTAAGGATGGAAGATGACAAGTTAGAGTTTCTTACAATATTGTAAGATTAATTGGGTCCATGCTTGTGTAATATATGTAGTTAGTTATGGTGGGAAGTTTCAAGAAAAACCAAAGTCACAAGAAATCTTAGTTGTGAGGTGTCTCATGGGACACTACTATCCAATATTCTCTTTTGGTTTCATTGTTATCCACTTAGGGAAAACATACCAAACTTTTCCCTTTTTTTCTTCTTGTTCTAATAACCGTTTACACTTAGATAATGTTTATTTATTTTTAGTGTAAATATTCGGTAAATTCCCAATGTGTCGATCGATCACCCATCACTAGTTTAGATTAAGTCCGTACTTTACATTGATAGCATCATATCTATAAAATATAAACAAAGATTAATCAGAGTTTTTGTTAATTTATACTTACGAAAGAAAAATTATATATACTTATAAGAAACTTTTTATGTAACTCGGTCGATCAAATTGTTTTATGTAAACCTTCATAAAGTAGACATATTTCAATCTAACAAGTTTGATTTTTGTTTTATGTAAATCAAGCTTTAGATTTAGACATATTTCAACCTTCATACTAATCTTGAAATATGTCTACACTAAACACTTCATAAAGCTTGATTTTTGTTTTCTTCCTATTACTAATGTTCTTCTAAATTAACTCCACGGGTAACATGGTTGGATAGTGTCGGCGAAGGGCACCATTATCTTCATGTATACATGTAGGCCTGAGAAGCTTCTGAAGATATATTCCCCCCAACTATATACAGTGTAGAGTTTAAGTCCCTCTTATGGGTTATGGAGTGTCTTCTTTTGATCTATGACTAATATTGGTTTTGTCTTAGATTATGTCTGTCGGATTAATTTTGATACTTTTTTTTTCTTTTGATTTTGAAAATTTATTGAAATTGAAATTTACTTTTCTTTCCTTTTGTTTTACTTTTATTCTACGTTATAACAATGTCGGTGTTGATTATCTAGATAAAAGCAAATACACGTTTTGTTTTTTTCAAGTAAATTCGTCGATTTTTGATTGGATTTATTTTTAAACCGATATATTAATAAAATGGAAACTTTGTTTTTTTATCTATATATATATATATAACTCAACTCCATGGATTGATTTAATTTAATACTGAATTAGTTTTCCATCAATTATATATGGAGTATTAGATTAGACTAAATGCACTGAACCATCTGAATTAATAAGTCATGACGTTAATTCTTAGACAATTAATATACGCCTAACATGCAAATGTGGCATATATATGTGACGAGAGGCCAGTTTATTTTAAACGTTAGGGACAATATACTTCCAATATGTAAGAATGTATGCGTACCAAATATCGATCAACAATTACCAGGTCAACTATATAAATATGCAAACATTACGTACATAAAAATATTATATACGCCATTTTTAATAAAATAGTTCAAAGGCTCGATCGATTACATGTATAATATATACACTAGTTACTTTATAATGCTTGAGCTCTTACCCCGACGACTATCATTGAACAAGTTATGAATTTTAAGATCGTTGCAAACTTATCAATTATATACAATGTTATTGGATACGATCAAGAGTTATTAGGGAATTTCACGTGACTTTTTTTTTTGTTTGGTCAACATTTTTTCACATGACTTTAGTAACATACTTTAATTCACAACGGTAATCAAACTGTATATCACAAATGGTTATAGTAGTGTACAAATTGGTACAGAAACTTGAGACAGATTTGTAGCCACCTTTTTTGTTGCAACTTATAAAACAATTCGTGACAAAATTATAAACTTGTATTTGATCCAACAAACAATATTTTTTTTGGACAAAACAGATAACACTCTAAATTAACAGAACCACAGTTATTTCCACGAAAACAACATCGCACAGTCGCACTCTTTGAGGCTGAGGGTATAATATTTTTAATTTTCAAAAAGACGGTGCTATACGTAGAAAAATAGTATTCAAAGCTAAAAATTATATATTGATAAAATATTAAAATATAATATGTGTATATGATATATGCACGTCATATAAATATAAGGAAAACAGATAAAATTTTAAAGAAAAAGAAAAATATAGAAACAATTGATGGGAGTAAGGGGTCCACTAATGATGAACATGAAACCGAAGACACAGTGATATCTCTGAACAAAACTCATTTGTTGATGTTTCGGAAAAAATCTTGGATTTTTATTTCAGAGACTGCCAACAATAATTGAGGTGTGGACAAAACTCAGTTTTGTCATTATGTTTCCTATGTTTCTCATAAATTATTGGCAGCTGTACACTAACACACATATATACACATACTTTTGTGTCACACAACCTACGCCACGATCTTGACTTCATTTTTTCTGGGGTGACTTTTTGATTTAGTTGAAGAGTCTTGGTAAAACTACTACTATATAGTACAATCGATCATATGGTCTTCTAAATAAATTAAGATGGTAGATCACATACTAAACATTTCACTCTTCTATATTGAAAAGTTACTTGGATTGTTTGTATGAGTTATGAAAATAACAACAATCATACTATTATATAGATCAAATGTGTGAAAATAGAAAGGCCTATCCATGAGGTGTGTGTGTCTATTCCTGATGGGGAAGGAAACCTTTTAATGCGCTGGATCTTTTAATAATTATGCTTATGGTGGATCCTATATCACTCTCTATGAATTAAATACTTGTATATAAAAAACTGGATTATAAATATTAAATATTCAATAAAAAAAATAAGTTGAAGATTACTAATCGTGTTAATCCGAATTTTCTATTTGGCATGGAGTTTTTAATATACTGTATGTGTTTTCAATAATGATTGGAAACTTATTTTTTTTTGGTTTGGTTCATATCATCAGAAATCGGTTAGTTTTGTTTACTGGATACAAGTGTCTCCTTTGTCTTTACTTTAGAAACGGTATGTCGGTATCTAATATATTTATGTTCATGGAGGCCTTGAGGGTCATATATATAGTATATACGCATATGTAGGGTAATAGAATCTTTACATTTTATATTGTTTTTTATGCGATCAAGTTTTAACATTTTTAAAATGGTTTAAGTGTTTAACTCTAAACAGAACGGAGGAAATTTAACAATTAAATGGAAAAAGTCTTCCCTCTCTCTTTTTTTTTTTTTTGTTTCTGTTAAAAAATGGAAACTGTCTCTTACATTATCGATCACTCTGGCCATGCACCGGATGAATAGTATATATGTGATATCCTAGGTTCAAATCATGTGAATTTTTTTTGATTTTATGTTTTTGTTTTTAATACGTCAAGGTAAGTGTTGTAGACTTTTAGTCTATTATATATATATAATATTTTAGGATTACAAAATATCCATGCAAACCCTTAATTAGAGGGAGCCAAATGCGGCGGAGAAATTGGTGAGCCGTTTCCTTAGGTTACACGTCCTTCCGTTGCTCGATAAATTACCGATGGCTTAAGATTTAAGAAATTAAGTCAACGTTTCATAGTACTAAATTTTCATTTGTGTCGTAATAATGACTCAACCGGTCATTTCAAAATCTACATGGTAAAAATGTATAATCTGTTTTGGGGAATATATTTTTTTTTTCTTGTCTATTACAGAATTTTTAAGTGAGCTTAGGGACCGATTCGATTACGCTGGGAGCTCTTTTACGGATTAATCGAAAAATAGTGAAACATTTTATGCTTATTACAAAATTCGGTAAACAGTAGACACATGCTATCGACAACTATACTAATCTAGACGATAAGTTAAACTTCGATCGGTCCGCATTACTCGTGTTATACTATAAGATAATATTACGCTGTGTTAATTAATTAGGGTAATGTTATATTAGATCAGAAACACAGATTAACTACTACCAATTGTTTAAGAAACTCAATATATATTATGTAATTGTATAATTATATTTGTTCTCTTCTCGGATGGAAAAGCTACCTAACAATAGGGCAAACCAAAAAATGAGTTTTTTTTTTCCCGTTCAACATCGGATCATCATATCATGTTTTCGTCTACAATTGACGTGTAACATCTTGAAGAATGAAGTCACATGTTGGAATTATATTAAACCCTATACTATAAGAACGGTTAGCTAAACAACAAGGATCATAAGATAACTACTAGCTAGAAAAAAAAAAAAAAAACAAGATTGTGCCAAAAAACTCGCAATACTTTGAAGCTAGCTAGAAAACCCTGAGCGTTAGACATGACAGTTAATCTAACTTGATTCTAGTTCTGTAAAATTTAGTCGAGCTTTTTTTCAATACTAATATTTTCATATAAATACTCACATGATGATTCTAGTTTTCTGAGCATACATCACCATATGAAAAAAAAACACTAATAGTATTGATGCTTGATATATATGACTTCACCTATAAACTAATATCAAATCATTCATATATTTTGGCCCCATGGGTAACAACATACTGTCATAATATCATATATATCATTTAGAAGAAAGTACACACGATATGAACACGTATATATGTAATTTGTAGATATGGAGAAGCCAATCCCACGGATGATGTGCACACACAAAATATACAGATGATCAAAGTCTCGAGAGATGTATTATTGATGAAAAATGATGGGAAAAGGGGTAAAATCGAGGGGAAGAGTTTATTGCCAAGTAAGGAAGATTTTGTGTGTTTGATTGGAGAAAGAGTGACGGATTTAACATTCTTTGTCGTGATCTAATTATTCGTCTTTCGTATTCCTTAGCAGCCTTCTTCTTCATATAGATATTATATCTATTGTCAAAACTCCACATTTTTTTTTTTTGTCTTTTTTAAGTATTAATTATTGTATGAAATTTTGGATTACCTCCATAAATTAATCACAACTTACATAAATATAATGTTAAGTTTTGTCTTATAGTCTTTCAACATTTTAAAAATGCGAGATAATGGTTAAGATATAACAAAATTTATGTATTATTTAACATTATTAATATTTTTGTATGATTCTGAATAAACTCGTT